AGAAACCTTGACTTAGTTTGAAATGGGTTGTTTTTCACCGTAAATTCTGCCTCTAAGTTCGCGATTACGTCAGCAAGTGGAATCCTGTGGGAATCGCTGAGAAACTGGTCTGCACTGGACAATTGAGCCTACACTTCCAAACTTTCCAAAAGAATAGAGGTTCGTTCCGTTTGGCTTCATGGCCTCGAATCTTTATTACGGCTATTCTCAGCTTCGCACAGCATAAAGCCTGCGCCGGCTCTGAAGAGTTGATCAGAGCGAATATCAGCGAAATCCCTTTCGGAGGTCAACATTAGTATGGGCCAGGAGACCACCTCGCGGCAATTTTCCACGCAGAGGTCTTTTCCAGAAAGTTTATGCTATTTTGATATTTTTGCTGCCAATTCAGAGGTAGTCATAACCGCGTCTGGGGGCTGTGTAGATCTGATGACATTATTGAATCGGTTCCTTCACACACTTAGGGGTGCGGTTGGGCCCGCCTTTTTATGCTCTCCCGCCAATGACGTTCAATGTCGTCACCAAAACTGCACCACCCTCCAGCTCCGTGGTCACTGCCTTTAAGGCGTCCAAAAAACGTCCTCCAAATGAATGCAGCCGTCAGATTGCGCTACATTTCATAACTTTCTTTACTCTCGTTTCACAGCAATTCTAGTAACATACCACAGCAGCCAATGATCTAAGGCATTCGATGACTTTATAGCATTGCTTGTTCTCATACAAGTCAACAGTCTGGAAACAGCTTATCTCGGCAACACCGTACGCTTTGCAGGCTTCGAGGAAATTGGAGATGTTTTCCATCTAAACCACAACGATTTCTGAGACGAGAAAATTTTGGGGAAAGTGGGTAGTACCTTGTGAAATGGCATCTTTGGTTTGGGATTGAATGGAGCTCGGCTTCCGTTGTCTAGAAGTCTGTTGATTAGTCTGAAAGCAATGGAATGAGGTACACGTAGAGATCAATCACAGGTCGGAAAAACCAAATCCCCTAGGCGGAAACAAAGCGAGCATGCC